TTTTACTGTGAATGCACCACAAACCAGTCCAGGCTGGATTGATTTGCTCTCCTGTATCTCATAGCAGGGTATGTTGGAAATACACTTGAATAGAAAGTGTCAAAGATTTGATTGTTGTGAGGGGCAGGGAAACTTGTACCGCTGCTCAGTATGTATGTTTGATGTGGGGGTTAGGGAGACAAGAGGGTTCTGAGGTTTCTAGATTCATTGTTTGGAGAGGGCTGTATGCTCATAGTCTGTGCAGGTGAAGGAACTGGGCTGCTACGTGCACGATTATAAGAGGGAGCTGGGCCCAGCTCCAAACCAAGGTCACAGCTTCCTAAACCGTCTATGTTCAGCCTGACTGCAGTCTATGGAGAAGTCTTGAATACGCAAAGCCATCAAGTGGTGGGCATGGCACCCCTGGCTGCGGAGAGCACCATTCACACAACTTGAATGGGCCAGAGCCACTCGTGAGTAGAGCCATCAGTCTCACCCCTGAAAGAATGCAGGGTGGCTTACTTGTCTCATTATAGTCAAGTGAATCGCTTTCCTTTAAAAATAGGAGCGGAAAAACGAGGCCCGGGAAGAGGAAGGGTGGGGCAAGGAGAATCAGTGCTGGACTGTCTTTAAGTGGGTGGCTACCTCGCTGAGGAAAGAGCCTTGCAATCCAGGAAAGCAGACATTGTGATTAGGCTTTCCTGCCAGCCAGCCACAGGGGGCTGGTGTGCTTTCTGGAGCTAGCCCGCCTTGCCGTTTCCACTCTTATTCTCTCTGAAGATTGTGGTTGGTTAGTCATCCTTTAGCAAGGTCTACTCTAGGTGCTGGAGCTTAATCAGAACTCTGCATGCATGGCTGAGCAGGGACATTCAGTGAGTGAGGGGTGGGACTTAGCCTCCCCATTTTGGCTATTGGTGAATTCTCCTATCCCAGCTTTTTTCTTTCTAACTGTTGCCATTCTGTAGTCGAGGCCGCCACAAGCAGCCTGCCCTGATATTCTCTCCCTGCTCAGCTTCAAGCTCTTCTCTTTCTCCTCCCTCATCCCCACAGAAGAAGAGAGCATGTTCTTCGAGGACCCTGCTCCTCTGCTCTGCCTTCCCTCTGGGGAGACAGTTGCCTGCCCTCAGCACTATACTCAAATATCTTCTGCAGCTTATTCGGTACCCGATCACCTCACCCGACATCTGTGGCTTTCTCTCTTCTTACTGCTTTCCTCTCCAGGTCTACTGGCTTCCTGACCCTGCTGGAAAAAAAAAATCACCAAACCCAAAAATCTTCTCTGTCATATTTAAGCCTGATGTCCAAGAGCTATCCTCAATCCCCACCTCTTCCTCACTCATTACTAATACCCAGGCCCAATATGGTCCTAGGGTTGAAGGCAGAGGGACAGGGAAGCTAGTGTGATGCCATTATAGTCTTAAAAGCATGCATTATAGTATATTCATCAAAGTGTCTGTGCATGAGGCCAGTGTCGGCTCAGCTGGTAAAGGTTCTTGAGTTAAGCCTGATGACCTGAGTCCCATCACCCAGACGCAAATGGTGGAAAGCAGGGAATCAGCTCCTGAAAATTGTCCCCTGACCTCCACAAGCATGCTATGGCATATGCATGCCCCTCACCCACTAAAATAAAGGGTTATAAAAAATGTGAAAATTCTGTGTCTGTAAGCACCCCCTGGAGCTGACTCCTAGCTCTCTGGGTGCTTGCACTGTGCAGTGTTTTGGCCAGGATGGAGGCAGAGTGCGGGAGGACGCTGAAATCTAAGCTCATTATTTATACTTTAGGGGCCTCCTGGAGATCTGCTGGGTAATTACAGCTCCTCCAAGTCCTGGGATAGCTAATGATAGCCTAGTTTGTGCTGGCTTTGCGCTTCCTGGTGGCAGCGGACCCTGTGGGAGGTAGCTAAGGGGTGGCTTAAAGCCATACAGGGGATTTTCACCCACGACTAGTCCAGGCATTGGGAAAAGGAGAACTATAAGGCACCTATATGGGCTTTCCCAGGGCGGTCTCCCAGGCTTCCACGGATCTGCTAGGTAGCACATTTACCCCATTTTGAACCTTGTGGCCACCACTAGGTGGCCTCAGTCCTGTTACATTGCCTGGCCTTCAGCCAAAATGCTAGCCAATTGGGACATTATCTATTTTATCTTAGTGCCTAGGAAGAGGAGGAGGCTAAGGTACATACAAGGTTGGTCCATATACCATATATATGTATGTATATGTGTGTGTGTGTGTGTGTGTGTGTGTGTGTATGGTATTGTATAAGTATGTGTCAATAGATATATTGCCCTCTGTGTAGCATTGTTTGACCCAGGAGGGCATGACATGGGAATACCATCCAAGATCAGGAGTTTGAAAATCCTGACCACACCTCTAGCTGCTGCAGTAGTTGCCAAGGCCTCAGGTACCAACAGCTAAGGAGGCTTCAGTGCTGGGAGCTAAGCTTGCCTCCTCCCTTCCCCAGGGTAGGGACCACAGGCAGGAGAGGCTGAGGAAAGGGCTTTACCCCCATCTGACCTCCCACTTATCCGATCATTTATCTGCCCAGCGCAGAGTTCTTGCTCTCCTTTGTGGTAACACTAGGTCTTTCCCTAATGATGGGGGAAGAGGAGGACAGATCAAGGTGTCATTGGTCGGGATGTCTCCTGGGACAGAGAAGTACCTGGGGGACGGTGATTTCCTTTCCTGGGATAGAGAAATGTTGGAGCAGAAGCAGTTGAGGTGGTGTGGGCTGCGGTGTGATGTTTTATTTTATCCACACCTATGGCTGGGCGGTTCTTGTAAGGGGCCTCCCCTTGATGTTTCAACATGACGTCATCATCATCTACAAATCTACGTTTGCTCTCTGAAGAACCGCACAGTTGAGACAATACCCCCCCCCCACGCACACAAACACACCTAAGCTTTCATGTTTTAAGTTAGTTTCCAGTTTTGTGTTGGGTTGCGTTAACATCAAGTGTAGACACGTCAGCAGGGGCAGGAAGGGGAGGACACACATCCTCAAACACAAGCACACGCAGAGAGAGCCAACTGGAAGTATCGTGAGGCTATATAAGCTCAAAGCCTGCTCCAGCGACACACTTGGCCGGCAAGCCAGCACCACGTGTACCTCCCCAAACAATGCCGACTGGGAACCAAGCGTCCGCGTGCCCGAGACTATGAGGGACGTTTCCCATTCAAACCGCCATAGAGGCTAAAAAGAAATACAAAGGATCAACAACAACAAAAGCAAAGAGTTGGTAAACAAGATTAGCAAGGCTTCGGCTCTGTTATCTTCTCAACCACAGGAAAGAGGGTGCAAGTTCATAAAATCAGAGACGAGAGAGGACAGTAAAATACAACAAAACCCACAGGAGCATCCTGAAAGCTCACATTTTAGCAAACTGGAAAATCTAGGAGAAACACGTTCACAGACACATATGAACTTGCTGTGAAGGTCAGTCTTCAATGCCGACTTGATGGGATTTCCATTCGCTTAGGACAGATGGCTTTGGGTGTATCCCTAAGAGCATTTCCAGAAAGGCTTACCTGAGGACCCTCTCTGAAGGTGAACAGGCTGGGGTCCTGGAATCAAAAGAAAGAGAGGAGAAAGAGAGCGGCGCACCAACACTCACCTCCATCTGCTTTCTGACTGCACACCATGGGACCAGCCTCCTTGGACACCTCCATGCTTTTCCCATGACAGCTCTTACCTTCAGACTAAGAACCAAAACAAAACCTTCTTTCCTCCAGTTGCTTTTGGGAGGTGTTTTATTACAGCACCGGAGAAAGCAGCTAATGTACATACCGGCACTGGATGAAGAGCATCTAAACAACCAAAACAGATAAATAAAAAGCAGTACTGTTAAAGCAGTACTGTAAAAAGTGTCCTAGCAAAGAAAAGTCTAGGGCCTGGTGGCTTCACTAAATTCTGCCAGGCTTTTAAAGAATGAATACCAATGCCACTCAGATGGTTGTCCTATAGATTAGAAAGGGAAGTAACAGTTTTAAATCATTCCATAAATTAATTATTGCCCCGGTGCCAAAACTGGATAAAGGTAGAACAACAACAAAAGAAAACTATACATTGATTTTCTTTATGAACACAGATGCAAAAAAAAAAAAAAAAAAAACAAAAAACCAAAACCAAACCAAAACAAAACCAAAAAAAACCCCAAAGTATTTGCAAACTGAATTAAACAATGAATGTATTGAAAAGAGCATATACCGTGTAAGGGTGAGTTAATATATGTAAAAGAAAAAACATAATATAGTAACTGTTTGGAAGCTGTCGTAGAGCTAGAAGGCCTGAGAGATTGGTTGGCTGAGGAGACACACACAGTAGGGTGGGCTGAGGGATGTGTTCTCCATAGCCATGGCTTGAAGGTATTTATAGGCCAGTGGGAAAGATCCCAGGGGCAGGAGAAGGATGACCACTCTGAAGAGAGAAGGGGGAGATCTGGGCAGACTGTACTTTCTGTGGCATAGCCGATGCGGGAAGGTTTGTGTTTGAGCCGAGCCCTGGCTGGTGGCTGACACAGACACGGATAGTGGCTGGGTGGTATTTTCTGAGTTGTTTCTGTGTGTCTGACTTTCCTAGTCTGGGCTGTCCGCCTGGCCCTTGCCGTTATAGGGAATCCACACCGGACTCCAGAGGCAGTCCCACAGGCCGGGCATCTCCGTTCCGGGCTCTGCTCTCTGATGAGATTCTCAGATTGCTTCCCCTCATTCATGAAGAGGCAAGCTCACAGGGCAGGCGTGGGAACCTGCTCGGCCGCCAGGGCATCCTTCAGTTCAGACGGAGGTCGGCCGCTCTCCTGCCTTCTTGGCTGTCGGTCCCTCAGACCTGGCTGGCTGGCGTGTCCAATCTCATTGGCCTCTGTGATAAGCCATAGGTTGGCCCCAGGATGCGCTAGGCTGTGGCAACCCCCTTCTCACATAGCCAGACGAGCCCTAGCCAGGCCAGCCTGAGCGAGCCCCTCAGAGAAGCAGCCGGGTTTAGGTTTAGGTCTGTACTGAGCGCACCTTCCTTTTCTTCCTCGAGCCTGTCCCCTCCCGGGACACTCAATTCCGGACCTCGGTGACGCCAGCCTCCTGCAATCTGCGGGTGGTGATGGATGGGAGAGTGGTAGGACCACAGAGGACAAGAGCAGGCGTGAGGCCCCAGGGTGGAGGCTGGGATGGGGGCGTCGCTCCTGGAGCGGGGTCCCACGAGGCGAAGGGAGGCGCGCACCGCATACGTGCAGCGCGTGGCGGACCGCCCGGGCCTTGCCGGAGGCTCCAGTGGCTCGGAGCCAGGCTCAGGCGGGCCCGGGGGGCGGGAGGTGGGGACGTGGCGGAGGATCAAGCGGGCGGAGCCTCCGCCGAGGGAGGAGCGGAGAGCGCAGGGGCGAAGCCTCGGGAGGTTCTGGAAACGCCGGCTGCCGAGCGTGTCCAGGTGAGCGCGGGTCTGCGGGGTCGTCCCCCCCACCCACCCCCGGCCTGGGCTCGGGTCCGGGTGGCCGGGAGGTGCGTTGTGCCCTGCGTTGAGCCCCTGCTGGATCCGGGGTCACCCTAAACAGCCCCGCGCCCCGCGCTCCGTGTTCCGCGCGCCGCGCCGGGCGCCCTGATTCTGCACCCGCCTGGGTTCCTGTCCCGCCCGCGTTCCTTCCCAGGGTCAGGGCGGTGAGGTCAGCGGCGTCCTTCCTGCCGGTGCAGCTCGGCCCGGGCCGGGCCGGGCCGGGCCAGTCACTTGGCGGGCCCATCGGGTCAGGCTCCCGGGAAGGGGCGGTCTGACCCCAGGGTCGCCCCCCACCCCCATCTAAGACAGAGACGCCCGCCCTGCCCCGGAGGCTGCGCTGCTTAGGGTGAGGAAGACCCCTGGCTTCCCCCTTCCCCTCCCCTCTCCCCTGGCAAGGACCAGCTTGGCGCCTGCTAGCTTTATGGTCTGTTCCATCAGAAAGCCTCCTCTTATCCGTCAGACATCCTTATCGAAGCTCTGATGTTCCCCCTTAGTAGTTTCAGAGTCCGGTGGCGATTGGCTGCCTGATTGAACAAACAGGGCTTTCTGAGTGGCTGGAGACTTCAAGGACAGAGGCTGGCAGAGGAGACTCAGAAAGTTCAGGTCCACAGCAGCAGCAAGGTAAGTACCGAGTTGGTATGGAGCTTGGGCTGTGTGGACTTGGTCCACGTCTGGATGCTTCAGGGCAGGAGGCAGGCGCTCCTGTGAACTGGAGTGGTCACTTAGGCGCGCGGACTGATGAAACACCCTGTGTGGCCACGGACTTGGGCCAGTATCGTCTTTGTGGTGCTCTAGTGGAATCAAGGTGATGGGGAAGGGCCGCCTTAGGGAATAGCTGTCCAGAGGCCACACCCACACGGAGTGAGAAGCTGGCGAGTGGAGGGGTCCTCCGTTGAACCCTTGCAGCGCGAGCACACCCTAGGTTTTATGGAAGGTACAGGTGAGTGCTCCTGTTGTCTGTGTTCTGATGTAGGAGAGCATCGGGTTGCTCCCTACAGCAACCTTGCCGAGCTCTCAAAGAACTAAGGAGGTAGGGCAGAATCTTTGGGCTAAGGCCTCCAGCCAACTCCATCCTTGCAACGTGGCTCTGCTGGCTGGGGCCACACAGCGGACCCTCACTCCGCAGAATGACACTTGAAGGCTTTTGTTTCTTGTTGCAGACAGTCTGGTTACTGACACCCTATGCCCTCATCCTGGTCCTAAGAACCGGGTCTGAGTGTGCTGCTTTGTAGTTTATGGCATGCCCAAACATTCTAGACTTTTCAGAGGCCTGTTGTCAAGCTCAGAATTTATAAGGTGTTTTGTTTGTTTGTTTGTGTCTTTGCAAGCCGCTGCTTGTTCTGAACTTATGTCAAATTAGGGTCAACCCATGGTTGAATTCTCTGTTAACCCTTGGCTTGCATCTCATCGGCTTCTGAAGTGTCCCCCATGTAAACCTTTGCTACAGTTCTGTGCCTCAAGGCACAGCCTCTCTGTTCCCTTACCATGCACAGGATGTTTGACCTTTGGATTCTTTTCATCTTGGGCCTTCTTGTTCTCACACAGCCGGGCTTGTCCACTGTGTGACCCAGCCAGTGAGGCCACGTAGCAAGGATGGAGTGAGTTGGCCGGAGGCCTTATCCTGAAGATTCTGTCATACTGACCCTCCTTAGCACTTGGAGAGCTCAGCAGGCAGATATGATGACAACTCAGCTGAAGTGTTGTGTGCGGCCTCTGATAGTCTGTCTGTGTTGTCATGGCTCTGCAGTGAGGTGATGCAGAGAGTGGAGTACTTATCTATAGATTGGGCTGCTCACAATGGACCGTGGGCAGTTCCTTGAATAGTGTGTACTTGGTATCTGGCTAGAATGTGCCTGGGGCTAGAATGAGGGAGAAGGGAGGGAAGGTGGAGGAGGCACTCATTTCACCCCTAGGCAGCTCACAATCTCCCTGAGATTGCCATTTAGCACTGGCAGCTGGCCTTGGGCCCAGGGAGGAGCCCTCCGTGTGGGTGCTTATCAGAGACCGAGGATATGCAATTCTGGGGACTGAGTGGAGTGAAGGAACTGAGGGTTTCCTCATCTCCTGAGAAAGCTTCCATTTTTGACTGCGCCCTCCTACATCCTCGGGAGGGTTTGAGTTGGACTGAAGGCCTTGGCTGACTTATGGCCACGCTGGCTGATAGTGTACCGAGGGCTGAGGGTGTGTGTCCCTGGCTTCTGGGATCTGTCAAGAGCTTAATTTTATGCAGATGGAGGCTGGCAGCAAATGCTGTAAAGCAGGCACGTGAAAGACCAGTCTAGGAAGAAGAGTTCAACTTTGAAAACATTCAAATCTAGTCATTCAGACCTTTGAAGTGCCCAAGGGTGGGACACCAGCCTGTCCCAGAGCAAAGGGGACTGCGGAGTCCTTAGGTCTGTGGGTTTTGTGCTGGGGATGTGGAATGAAGGATAGAAAGACAGTTTTTCTTCTCGGGGAGAGCAGAGCAGGATTGAAAAAAAAAAAAATCTGGCCTGGGTTTTCTACAGAAACAGGTTTTTGTTCAGCTGGTGCCACTGCAGGGCAAGGATTATGTGTTTGGATAGTGATTTCCCCGGCTCTGATAGGATCTGTCTGAGCTTGGTCCAGGCCAGCCTCTGTTCCAGGCTTCTTGGGAAGTGCTTGCTAGAGATTGCTCGCTCTGTACCTGGCACTCCTGGGAGCCAGGGTGTGGTGGAGAGCCCAAGGCCTGGTACTCGTAGGAGCCTGGAATGGCCAGGTCAGAAGTCCAGAAATAGAAGAAATTTCGGAGTATTGGTTCTGCTCCATGCCTTGTGCCCAGAAATTTTCCTTGGTGAGCTTTAGGGCTCGTCATTAGCCAATTCCACGGTCACCTCTGGGTGTCGTGTGCTTTGTGGCACCTGATTCCAGTCTCTCCTGAACTGAGTATGTCATCTCTTCTGGCATTTTTGGAACCCAGACATCGCTCACCTTCTTGCTTGTTTCTTGTCCCTTCACTGCCTCCTTGTAAGGATCTTCCTCACACCAAGAGCAACTAATGTGGGCTGAGCAACTGCCCACTTCAGGTCCCTTCATGTTCCCATGACTCTCTTGGTTTTGAAGATTGGTCAGCATCAGCCCGATGACCGGCAGCTTGAAGCCATCTGTCATTTAACTCAGTTCACACACAGTCCTATCAAGGGTAGGTTCTAGTATCATCTCCAGTGTATGAATGAGGAGATTGAAGACCAAGAAGTATAGGATTGTCCAAGGTCACAAAGCCAGAAGATCAGAAGATGCCAGCTGGATCTAGGACTTAACTGGTCTTTCTAACCCAAGGGCAGCTATACCTGCTCCGTGGGTGTCAGAGCCTGGCTGGCTGATAACGTGTGAGGTGTCTGGTAGAAATGACTACCCACTTGAATTCAGGAAACTGTTTTTTGTTTGTTTGTTTGTTTTTGTTTTTTGACCAGGTGTTCTCCTTTTCCTGGTGGGCTCCAACTAGGGATGTCCTGGGCTCTATTTGTGAATCTCTGAGACACCCATGATAAAGTTTTCAGTATGAGTACAGTGTGGCTTCCCAATTTCAGGAAGGCACATGTGTTGTGGCACAGTGACTAGAGTAAGATGGGATGGGATCAGTGTCTCCCAGAGGGGGCCTTAGCTGGGTTGCTTAGCCCTATAGGACAACCTCAGCCATCTTTCTGACATCTCACACAGGACTCAGTGCCTCCTTATTCCTGGTTTCACTTTCTGTAGTTTCCATCACCCACGGTCAACCACACTGAGAAATATTAATTGGAAAATAATACAAATAAGCAATGGCAAGCTCTCCTAAGTTCTGCGATGGAGTCTGTGCCATTCTATGCTGGTCTTCCCAGGGTATCATTCCTTTGTTTAGTGTATCCTTGCTGTATACGTGACCCGTTGTTAGTCCCTCCATCCTCTGTAGCCATTGTTTATCAGGTTGACTGTACAGTTTTAACAGTGATTGTGTTCAAGTGAGCCTATTAAATAGTAGCCCAACATGCAAGAGCAGCAACACGGGCAATTTCATTTCAGTAAATTGCTGTAATTATTCCATTTTGTTCTGTTGATAATCTCTCGCTGTGTTTAATTTGTAAATTGCACTTTATCAAAGGTACGTGCTCACAGAGGAAACCAGCATATACAAGGTTTGATACTATCTGTGGTTTTAGGCATGCACCGGAGTTCTTGGAATGTATTCTCTGTGGACAAGGCAGGAGTATTGTATCTGAAGCAGAGATGATTATCTGGCTTACACGGTTTTTGTGAGAATTAGATGGTAGAAATGAAAGATCTTTGGAAACATAAACCATGGTTATCTTAGACTAGGTTCCCAGAAAACAGAGCCGGAGGCAGAGCTTAAGTGCTTAATACTTATTGGAAAGTGTATTGCGGGGCAGCTGGGGTGAGGGGAAAGGAGAGAAGAATGGGAAACCACCAGGTGCTGGTGCCTCAGCCAGCCGGCCTCTCTGTATGGAGATCTGTTAGCGCTTCAGCCATTTTGACCCTACTTCTGTGTGTAAGCTCCATGGGGACTCCATGCCTGGGGATGATTTCTTACCGAGGCTATTTGGAGGAAGGGCAGACTCCTGCTGGCATTTTATCCTCCATCAGCCGGAGTTGACCCAGGACTCAGGGGAACTTAACTTTCCCTCGCTCCTCAATGTAGTTCTTCTGTAGCTACTGGAGAGGCTAGTCTGGAGGTAGTGGGAGGAGCCCGGGAATCGCCGTGGGCCAGCAGTGACTTCCATCCTGCTACGGCAGAGTGGATGGTTTGGAGCCTAGGGCTGTGGGTATGAGGCCACATGGATGCCTTTTTTTTTTTTTTTTTCTGGTAAAGTTTTTTGGTTTTGGTGAGTTAGGTTCAGCTGAGACCCTGATAGAAAGCCACCCAGCTAGGTGTTGGCGTGGGGGACCTCGACAGCTTCTTTGCTAACCGTCCTGTTACTGATGCGGGGTGGGGGCAGTGGCTTTGAGGCTTTCACGTACTAGATAAAGATGATGTAAGGACAGATACACTTTATCTGAGACGTACATTCTCCTCAGGCCGATTGAGCTCCTGCTTCCTGTGACGACAACAGTGGGGGCTGTGGATCTGAGGCCAGAGCGTTCCTTGACTGACGGTTTTCTGTGCGTTCTTAAATGGACACTGAGGGATGGAACTCAGGAGGGGTCTTGGGAGAGGGAAGAGAGAACATCTGGCCTTACTGGGTAGAGATCTTGCTTTCACAAGGTTCTTGGCGAAGGTAAATATTTTTCACATGAAGTCATTGAAGGTTTGAGGTCTGGGGTGGTGCAATGGGCCTGGAGAGGGTAGCCAGGCCAGGTCACAGAGCTACAAGGGCTCTTTGGGCTAAGGTATTTGGGCTGTATCTTGCCAGCAGTGGCGAGCCAAAGGCTTCAGCAAGCCTTGCTGGCTGCTTAGTGGAACAGTTAGAGGGAGAGGTTAGAGCAGGTGGATCTGCACGGCTGAAGGGTGTGCTAGAGGCGGACCAGGGCGATGGCTGAGGCATGATGTCTGTAAGGAGACTGGGGTGAGCTTCTGGCAAGCATCTATGTGCTTCCGTGTTAGGACCACTTGGAACTGTGCCCAACCCCTTCATGGTTGAGTAGCAGGGTCCTCTCTGCTCCGCCAGTCTAGAGTTGGCCATAGTGTGGTAGGTAGGGCCATGGTGGGAAAGGGGGATTGAAGAGCCCCTGTTGGGGGCAGTTATCTCTTCACTGAAGGCAGACAGCATTTTGCCCAGTGCCAGGCAAGACCTATTTGCGAACTCATGTTCTGTCGCTAGGCTGTTAAATGCTTTGTTAAAAACGCAAGCTGTAGCATTTGGGCTGCAGCTGGGCACTTGGCACAGGGTCTTTCCTGATGAGGTAAGGGGAGAAGCTGAGGACGCTGCTGCTCTGCAGCTGGAAACATCTTTTCATGGCTACTTGGCCAGGTTATAAATGTACTTTCCAAAGAGAGGGCTTGCTCCAGGACCTCTGGTTGTATGTCTTGGAATCACTGCCCTGAGAAACGGTGCCAGTCGCCTGGTGGGTGAGTTACTGTCCCGGGGACATTGGCAGGTTTTGCAAGACCTCTTCACAGGGGTCCAGACACCAGAGCTGCCAAGGCCCCCTTGGAATTCAATTGAGAAGGGCCTACTTTGTCCCCTTTACATATTAAACATATTACAAAAATATAATTTTTTTTAAATGTATTATAGTAGAATTTCTTGCAGAAAGATCAGGAAAACAAACATAGAAAGAAAAATTAAATTACTTTACCATGATACAGTTCTTCTTTATGTGTATACATGCATCACTTTTCCCTTTCAGAAGATGGAGATACAGTTTGTACTATTGAGGGCCGGCCTCTGCCAGACTGCTTTGACCTTTCCATGTTGCTGTCATTTGGTGTTTATTATTAGGTAGCCTGTCTTATTCTACTGTTCAAGGTGTAAACTCTGCAGTTGTATTTCATCTGGACAGATCTGATGAAGAATACTTGGTTGGGTGCTTGCTACAGGGCAGACATTACTCTAAACCCTGGGACGCGCGCAGCTCGTAAAACTCAGTAGTGCTGTTCTCTGGCGCTGCGTTTTCATAAAACAGCGTTTGACCATGACCGCCTCCTGGATTGCTCTTCGTGGATTTCTGAGGGCTCATGGGAAGGCTTTTGGCAGCACTGACTCTGGACAGATACATGTCCTCCCACGCTCTCTGTCCTGGGTAGTGCTGGCTGTAGCTGTGGCGCAGAGGTTGGCACTTCCCACATTGCAGAGTGCAGACACGCTTGGATAAGCGCCTTCTCTCACCTGAACCTAGTTAGTTGACCTTTTATAGAAAACCTTTTTGAGTTCGGGGGCCCTGAGGTCGGCAGATGCCCCCTGCGTAGAATGGTGGTGTTGATGTGGCTTGCCTTGGGGTGCCTAGTTCTCTGGGCCAGCAGGGTTTCATACCTGTCCGCACCCCTTTCCTCCATCCCTGCCAGAACAGGACTTTGAAGACGCTTTCAAAGTCCTTCCTAAAGCCCGTGTGTGATTCCTTGAGGCTTTGTCTCAAGGCTGGGATCTGTGGGTGGGCTCAACCGAGCCAGGCAGCACATTCCAGAGAAACGACAGCTGGCATTGGTGTCATAAAGAAACCTGGCCGCTTTCTCCCGATTGCTGTAAGGTATGGGCAGTGGGCGGTATTTGAGAGGAATGGAGAGGTGTGAGCTGTAACACAGCTGGGAGAAGCAGGGAGCCTCCACTTCATCAGATCTGGTGTGGTCTTCTGCCTGCACTCTGTTTTCTTATCAGCCCTACTCTGGAGGGCTGTTGGCTGGCCTCCCACATCAGAGATCCTCCCGACTCTGAGATTTTCCTACATATTTTGGGGCATTTGTATTTCCTCTATTTTCTTTGCTTTCTCTTTAGTAAATTTCCATCAGAGCCATTCCAGACACTGCGGAAGAGGAAGCCTAGGCAGGCTTCAGCTGGGTGCTGGCCCTCCAGCACGTTCTGGGCTGCCTGGTTGGATGAGGAGGCATGTCTGAAGCCTCCACTGTGTACCTAGGCCAGCTGCCAGTGAAGCCTGCCTCAGGTTGCCGCCGCGTCTCTCAGAACTGTGTCTATTTCTAGGCAGATGAGAAGGCAGAGGCTGGCCTCTTCCCCATGTCAGCAGCCTAGCCCCAGCGTTTTGACTGTGTGTGACTGATTCACCTTTGTATTCCGAGTGCCGAGCTTGGTGCCTGGAATCTCCAGGTTGTAAGTAAATATTTGTGGACGAGTAGGGAGTGGCCAGGAAAGTTGTCTGTCTAGGTCCCCACTCCAGGAAGAGCCATGTCTGTTCAGAAATGCCACTCTGTGGCAGGTGCAGACTGGCAGAGGTCAGGGTCCTCTTCTGCTGACCATCTGCTAGGTGCCTCAGCTTGCTAAGTCCCCTGGGCCATGCTATCTCAGTTCTCTTTGTCATTGTACTATACTGTCACTTTCTTAGGGACAGGAGCCACGTCCTTGAATTCTTCACCTCTATTGGTATGTGATAACAGGACCAACCAGTATGTCTGTGTGAGCAACCCTCAGTTCATGTACAGAGGGAGGTCCCTGCCTGGGGCCTGTTTTCACATTCTGGGTGGCATGGCCACCATCACTGGTTTGGGAGGGTGGAGCGTGCTGCAGAGTTGCTTCGTCCCCTCCTGAGAGCCCAGTGACCCTAACATCCTGGGAACCAGCTGTCTGAATTGGACCTCCTTCATGCGGCTCTTGACACTATCCTGGCATATGTGTTAGAAAGCAACAAGACAGGCAGGCAGGAGGCCAGGTAGATGCACTCTTGTACTCCTAGCAATGGGAAGGCTGATGAAGGGAGATTGTGAGTTCCAGGCCACCCTGGGCTCCACAGTGAGACCTTGTCTCCAGAATGGAAAACAAACTAAAACAAGACCCGGGGGGGGGGGGGGCAGAACTGAGCACATGTCCTGGGTTCTCTGTCCAGGCCCCTCCCCTGGGCGATCCTGAATGCCTTATTTAGTGGCATATCAGTGTGTGTTTATGTGCGTGCACAGCATGTACGGATGTGTCTTCTCACATACATCATCCCCACCCTAATACAGGGTCTTGCCTTGTAGCCCAGGTGGCCTTGAACTTTGTTCCTGCTAACCCAGTCTCTTGAGTGCTGAATTTCCAGGTTTGTACCTCCCATGTCTTTTCACTGTGTTCATCTGATGACTGTTCCTGAATGCCTTGCAGACACTGCCCTTTCCAGTCATGAAGTTCCAGGTATTTGTGTTCCTGATGTCCTGGTTTGGTGCCCAGAGCTGGGTGCAGGCAGAATTCTTCACGTCTATTGGTACGTGTCAGCAGAACTCTAGTCTACCTAATCAGCCCTCGGTTAAGTGCAAGGGGACATACTTACTGCCTGAGGCTTGTTCAGGGGGGGATGGTTCAGTCACTGATTTTGAACAGACGAGGGAGAGTGGAGTTTACGGAGTTCTCTCCACTCCTGCCTTCCCCCATCCCCGGCCCCCTGTACCCCAAGGAGATCCTGATGAACACACGTCTTGGGAGGCAGCTTTCTGAATTGGGCTCTCTCTCCTCTCTGGAAGTGCAGACTGCAAGCCGCTTGTAGGTCCTCTTCAGTCCTTGGCAAGAGGGTGGTCTAGCAGTGTCTGTTGCAGGGACCAGATTCTCTCCTCAACTGAAAGTTCAGAGTTGATTTCCATGTGACGATCCCTCAGATGTCCATCCCGCTATGACAGGACCAGCCAAGTGACGATGAATGAGATTTAGAACTTCTCCTTCAGCAGTCCCCAGTGCCCTTGTGCTTTGCCCACACATCCTTTGACACCTCTGCTTCTTTCTTCCTGAAGTTGGGGGTCACGGCCTTGTGAGGGACTCGGCCCCTTTACCTACCAGTCCCTATGATTCCCAGTTTACTGGCACGTACTTGGCTGGGGCTATTCACTTCGGTACTGGTGCTTTGGGCGGGCCATTCCTCATCCACTTCTCACTGGCCCTTGCTTCTCTCTGGTAGGGCACATGACTGACCTGATCTATGCAGAGAAGGACCTCGTACAGTCCCTGAAGGAGTATATCCTTGTGGAGGAAGCCAAGCTGTCCAAGATTAAGAGGTGGCCAATGTCCTAACCCCCCCCCCCCCCCAAGTCATCCCTGCTGCTCCTCTTCCTGAGCCCATCTCAGGTGTCTGTAAAGAAAGTCATTGAGAGGTGACCCGGAGAGCTGACCTACCGTTAACTTTTGCTAGTCCTCAGGAGTTGCTGAGAACAGGGGTTAAGAAGCTACCATCGTTTTTTTGTTTGTTTGTTTGTTTTTGTTTTTGTTTTTCTTTCTTTCTACTTAACACTTTTTAATTTACGTTGGAGTTCCCAGCTCTTACCTAGATTAACGGCTAGACGTATCTAGGAAGTTAACTATATTCATGCTTTATTATCTCTTGATGAAAGAGCCCCGGACCTCACCAGGGAAATTACCAGCCTTTGTGGGTGGGTGTGGCAGTCTCTTTTCCCTTTGGCTCTGCAGCTGGGCGAGCAAGATGGAAGCCCTGACCAGCAAGTCAGCTGCCGACCCCGAGGGTTACCTGGCTCATCCTGTGAATGCCTATAAGCTGGTGAAGCGGTTGAACACAGACTGGCCTGCATTGGGGGATCTGGTCCTGCAGGACTCAGCTGCAGGTGAGGAGCAGGATCAGCTGTGCCTGCGGCCTGCCTGCTTCTGCCTGGAATGGATACTTGTTGTTTTGTTTTCACGTCCCATCCTTTTGTAATGTTCCCTCGTCATGACATTTTTCTAATTACACTTCAGTAATACATCGTTTTATAACAAACTTCAAGAACATAAAGTGTATGGCATAAAAATCGTGACACTTAATCCAAGTACTCCATGATAAACACCATTAATATTATAATCTCGGGGGATGGAGAAATGTACCGTGGTGAAGAGCATGGGCTGCTCTTGCCGAGGAACCAAATTTGGTCCCTAGCACCTGTACGGTGGCTCACAACCACCTGTATTTACAGTTCCAGGTAATTTGACCCCTCTTCTGACCCCTGCAGGCACCGGTCACCTATGGCGCAGGTACACACACACAGGGAAAACACTCATTCATACACACAAAATAAACTTAAAAAATATTTTTAAAAAAATCCTGTAATTGTGGGCTGGTGAGATGGCTCAGTGGGTGCAGCCCTTACACGCAAGTGTGAAGACTGAAGTTTGTATCCCCAGAAGCCTTGGAAAGCCAGGCAGCGTGTTTGGCATCATCTCAGCCCTGGGGAGGCAGAGGTGAGATTTCCCAGGATAAGCTGGCTACCTGGACTAGCTGATCAGTAGTGAGCTCTGGGCTCAACCGAGAGATCTTGCCTCAGGGAATAAATAGAGTGTGACTGAAGAAGACAACATGGCCTCAAGTTCGAGCCTCCTCACACATTCACATGCATACATGTGCACCCATGTACATGAGAACATGCACACACACACATTTACAAACACCCCACATACATACACACACCAAAAAGAATTAATCTGCTTATGTGCACATCCATGTTACAAGAAAGGGAACTATACTTGGGCTGAAGCATAAGAACGAATTTGCTTTGAGGGACAAATGAATCAAAAAATGAGTCAAGTGTGCTGAGGGAAGCTGGGGAACAAACAGGCTTCCTCTCAATTATTTTCTAAGTGTGTCTTCTACAAACAAATCATGTCTGTGTGGATTCAACATGGACGTGGGCACAGTCCTGGACTTCCCAGCTTCTGTAGATGCCGCTCAGTGTGTCTGTGCCGTGACTGTAATGGATGGATACTCCTCCGTCCCAGTGATATTCTGTAACCCTGGTCAACTCTTTGCACCTGGGGTTGTTTCCAAATTTTTTCAGCCCTCTTTTCCATGCCTTTTGGCGTGTCTGCCTCTGATTATTTTTCTAAGTTAGATTCCTAGCGATGATATTTACAGGGCATAGCACGGATTTGTTAAAAGCTTTTTCTGGGCTGGTGCTTTCTCTGTGTGAACATGTTCCAGTTATCAAGAGGAGAGGATCTTGGTAATGGAAGGGTGGGCTGGAGGTGGGCCACGGGATTCCCGGCCTCTGGCTGGGCCTCTTCACTGAGCTGGGACTGCTGATTAACTTCAGACTAGCTGTCTCTCTGGCTGAGACTGGTTGCAGCCACGTGACCAGCTGGGGTTGGGCCTGGCTGGGGGCTGGGTAGTCTCTGGGGAGGCTTTGGTGAACTCAGCTCTGCTGGAGCTGTGCCTGTGAGAGCTCACTGCCTCCAGAAGCCGCTGCCTTTCCCAGACCCCACCCCACCCCTTCCTGGGCTGGGCCTGCTACTCAGAACAGCTCAGAACAGGCTGTTCCGCCTGCCTGCTGGAGCAGCAGGCAAGGAAGGCTGCACAGTTGCAGATGATCTCCGCTGTCTGATCTTGTCGTGTGTGTTTGTGTCTGTGTGTGTCCATACCGCGAGCCTTGTCATCAACGTCTGGAAATGCTATGGTGACCTGGAAGGTGATGGGACAGACCCGGAGAACAATCACGTGTTTTCATCTCTGATATTGTATGCTTGCCCTGAAATAAGGGGGAACCCTGACAGTACAGTGTCTATATCTAGGGCGTGTGTTTTCTTTTTCCTGGATACTAAAGTCTTCAGAGTTCCTGACGATACATCTGTGAAGGAGAGGATGGGGCAGCTTTCTGACACCCTGGCTTGCTGTGATGAGAGGAGGTGGCAGTGGGCGCTGCTACACTTGGAAAGAAGCCAGGGACAGAACGTGTTGGAGCTCCCCTCCCAGTTCCCAGTCCTTAGGCAGATTCAGAGGCCTGAATCATTAGTGTGGCAAGGCCTGTCTTCTACTCAGAGCCCTGAAATAACAGGAGTTGTGTCTCTGGCTTGGGGCTAGGGCTGAGGGCCCTAGAAAAGCCACCTGGGGTCATAGGACCCGGACTGTGGTCTTGGGTACAAAGTGGAGAGCTCATACCCTGACTGCTAAACTCTTAAGCTGTATGCAGGGCTCTTTGGTTCCAAATGAACAGCACAGGGAGGGCTATGGCAGGGAGGACTTCCTGAAGAAGGAAAATGCTTTGATGCTGTTGTTGTTACTACTATTATCCATTTGGGGTGCCGAACCCCAAATGGATGCGGGCAGGTGTTCTACCACTGAGCCTCCGGCCCACCAACAGACTTTGAAAGAAGGGACAGGGAAATCTCATTAGCCAGGGACCTAGTGACTGTCCCTGGTCCCCGGTAGGATTCTTTCCCCTGGCTCAAGCGTGACCTCTGTTCTCACTGTCATTTGGAAGGTTTTGTCGCCAACCTCTCGGTGCAGAGGCAATTCTTCCCCACCGATGAGGACGAGTCTGGAGCTGCCAGAGCCCTGATGAGACTTCAGGACACATACAAACTGGACCCGGACACAATCTCCAGAGGGGAACTTCCTGGTAACGCACCTTTGTTTACTTGTGTCTCTTCAGTGTCTGGACAGGGCAGACTGGCTTAGGTGCAGTTCACTGTCGGCGCTGGGGTCCCATTTGGTGCCCGTCTCCCATGCCTCAACCCCTGCCCTAATGTCTTGATTCAGATATCTGCCCCAAATTCAGCCCTTTCTTCTCTGGGCTCTCTCTCTCTCTCTTGAGTTCATATGGTCAGTCCTGTCCACCTGCCCCCTTATCTCTTGTTATGTTCCCCTTTCCTTGCTTTCTCTGCTGACTTCACATGAAGGTTCTGATTTTGCTCATCTCTCACACTTGTCCTAGATCCAATGCTCTTTTGAGCCCAGTTCTCTCCTGCTGAGGCTGCTGGGTAGTGGTTTATTTTCCCTGACTCTGTGGTTCCCACATACCCCTGGACCCACAGTGCCTTTGTCCACCCTGTCTGTGATCCCATTCTTCAAAGTCACCAGGAACACTGGACTGGTAGAGCCAGCTGGCAGGTTGAATGCAGGCATAACTTGAACTTCACAGTAGCATCTGGCAAGGATCACGTCTCTCTCTTTGACGTTCTAGAGTCTGGGGTACTGATCTCTGCCTTTTTCTCTCTTGACTTGTCATTTCTCCATTTTTATTTGTTTGCTTGTTTTGTTTTTAAAATTGAATTGGCCTTCTTCCTGCTTTTTGCCCACTGCTAGTGATTATAAGATTTGCTGGCCTTAGGAGGTTGTTTGTAACCAATAATAGCCAAGGATCCAGTTGGACCTCATAATGATTTAAACACCACCTTACTTCTTGGGAAGCCTAGGGGAGGTACAGCAGAGGCACCCAGGGCACAGAGGAGCTGTCTTCCTCCCTAGATGTCTGGTTACTGGCTAGCCAAGGCCTGGGGTCTTGATGTGGAAGACTCTGCTAAGCTGACAGGGGGAGGAGGGTTCTCTTTATTCCATCATCAGTCGGGTGTTGAGCCGGACCATGAGGCTAGAGTGAGAAGGTAATTCTGCGAAGCGTTTGTAGCTCTGAGGCATGGTTGGTGAGAAAAGAGAGCTCTATGCTGACAGGGTCCTTCCACAGTTAACAGGACCCTGAGTGCCCTGAATGGGGCTGGAGGGCAAAGGAAGTTCCTGTCCAGAACCTCAGCCTCTGCCCACCCTGAGCCCCTTCCCCAGGTGAGCCCGGCTCTTTTCATCACTTGATGTGGTTGCCATCCATTGATGATATGCAGATCTGTGTTCTTTGTCCAGGCATGCTCCTGGGTTTCCAAGCACGATAAGCCAGTGCCTGTAGACATCTTTACCTGGACATTCTGTGGACTGCACAAACTTCACCTGGGCCAGATTGACATTCCTATCTGGTTTTGAACTCTTAGTCCTCTGCCTTCATCTGTTGTCTTAGCGAGAAGCACCTCTGCCCATTGGCAGCCTAAGCCATAGTCTTAAAGCCTGTGGATTCTGTCTCTCTAATGCCCTCCGCCCTTTTCTGTATCTCCAGCTCACTCAGGATAATTTCTGAGTGCTCCTAAGCACAGATTTATCCACTTGAGTTTAATGCTTAGCTTTCAGGAGTAACCCCAACGTCTCCTTCTAGCTGGTCTTTGAGGTCCCCCTGCCTCCTTGGCTTCCTTGCTTATCGTTCTCAGCATCCATCTCCATCTTTCTGCTCTAGCAGCCTTACCCTCTCTGGGCTCCTCCCTGTCTGTCAGCCCTCCAGCACTCAGCTTAGCTGTCATTGTTCAGGGAGCCGACACTTGAATTTGCTTCTAGGGAGGATGCTGAGATCTGGAAGTCATTCTTCACATTCTTGGCATTCACAAGACATGCTGATTATGGCTACTGGTCTTTAACATCCTGAGGCGACATCTTCATTTGTCATCTCACGGAATTTTTGGCACTAGCCCTTTAAAACTGATGCTGGTGTTTCTATTTAGGTAGATTTGGGTAGATAGTGTATCTGTTTAGATAGGGGACTGAGGCTGAGGCTGGGTAACATACCAGCTGGGCAGGTATGCACAGACCTGGCCCGTCCAGGTCCGGAGCACAGCTTGCTTATCTGTGTTACACAGCCTGTCATAGTAGGTTCCTGGGTCCAAAGAGTCCAGGCAGAACCATGGAGACTTGTGGAGAAAGGAAAGGGGCCCCATAAGCCCCCTAATCCTTGGCCTGCCTACGACTCCATCCTGTGTTTACTCTCTTGACAGTCTATCCAATGTTGTCAGATCCTGAGTCACCAGAACACACAGACCCCAGTCTCTGCAGCCACTGCCATCCTGCAGCAGGGTTTCCTTCTGGGAAGAGGCCCACTGTGGACCTTAGGCAAAGATAGGGATAACAGGGAGACTTCTGTGGCCTGCAGGAGGTCCTAGCCCTCCTTGTTCCGTGGGATCTGCCCCCTCATTATTCTCTGAGAAACAAGAGTCTTTGCCATCCCAAGCCTCTCTTAAGCTCTACATCTGGGAGCTGTTGCTGTTTCTCAGGTTGAATCTGTCTTCATAGTCACTTTCCCCAGCAGATGTCCCACCCGGCATGAGGTCCACCGAGCTGATGCTCCAATGTCCCTGCCGGACTGCAGCCTTGGTTCTGTGACCCCATTGGTATCTGTCACCTGTGCCCATTCCCTGTATCTTCTTCCTCTTCGTCCCTTCTCATGTCACCCGTGTTCCCTTGAGCGCTAGTCTCGAACCTTCTCTGTTCTTTCCTTCTTCAGACTCCCCCTATGTGTGACTGCCCGAGTCTCTCATGTCACCTGAATTCTGTTCTTGAATTTGTCTAAGTTTTCTACGCTTCAGACTTATATGGCCAACAGTTGCCTTCCAAGTGTCCTCTCCTGCTGTGACCCACAGGACTTATACCCACTGACCTCAGGGCAGTGTCTCCATGGGATTCGTGGACCCCCTATCACAAAGCTCCTCCCAGCCCCCCTTGAGAGGAGGAGTCTTGAGGCTTAGACTATGAACTCTAATCTAAGCCATCCCAACCCACTTATGCTCACCATATTGGTGATAGTTCATGGTGTATGGCATGACATCTGGGCAGTATTCTGCTTGGGTAAGGTGCCTCTTTCAGTGCCACAGGCTTTCTCCAAAGCGAGCGTCTCCCTTCTTTAACCCAGAGCCGTTCCGGAGCCTGACTGTTGCTTTTCCTGCTTCAGGAACAAAGTACCAGGCCACACTGAGCGTGGATGACTGCTTTGGCATGGGCCGCACAGCTTACAATGAGGGAGACTATTATCACACCGTGCTGTGGATGGAGCAGGTGCTGAAGCAGCTTGATGCTGGGGAGGAGGCCACCATAACCAAGTCCCTGGTGCTGGACTACCTGAGCTATGCCGTCTTCCAGCTGGGTGACCTGCACCGTGCTGTGGAGCTCACCCGCCGCTTGCTCTCTCTTGGTAAGGAGGTTAGGGGCTGGGGCTGGCAAGGGAGCTCAGCTCTTCGGGCCACATGGCTTGATCATCTCTTGGAACCAAATACGTTTGATTGTCACCTGACCCGGGTTGAATGTCTTAGTGATTTCAACTGCCTTCCCAGCTGCTGACTAGCTCCTTACCTACAGTCCTCGTGTTAGGCCTTGTCTGGTTGCTGATGGCTATTTGAAGGCCTGTGACATCCTTGTGTACATGTGTGTGTTGCCCATGCACATGTGTGGGCATGTGTTTGCAAGCGCATGTACACAGGTACACATTCTGTGGCACTTTAAAAAATAAGGGCCTAGTGTTGTGTGGGTCGCACCACTATGCAGGACGGACCCTTGAGAATCAAGCTGTACTTCCGGGTTGCCACAGTGACGGTAATTCCATCTACTAGTGGCCTGAGGTCTAAAGTGGGACAGAGCGTGCCATTTATACTTTGTATGTCTTGTGAGGTGGGGCGGAGCAAGGCCCAAAGCACTGTGGGTTTATTAAAGCCCTCTAGTTGCACATCTTACCAATACATGAGAACGCTGTTGTCCGGAGTTTCACAGAGCATTGAGGATTTGGCTTGTCACTGATTTCCAGGGGACCCGAGTGTGAGGCCCCCTGCAAGGCCGGCGTGGGTGGAGGGTTTTGTAGATTCTGTCAGGCGAGTTAGTAAGAGCCTTGGACAAGGGGTCAGGACATCCTGGTTCTTCTTCTGTGGGGTCTCGTCTTGAGTCACTGAACACCTCTGGAAGTCAGTCTGATCTGGGGAGTGACATAGGAATCCTGCTATGGTACTTCAGATGCTGGGATGTCCACCAGAGTTGTGGCTCTTCCATTTTTTAATTAGTGAAGTAATTAAGTGGGTCAGTGTACAAGTGCCACAGTGTACGTATGGTCAGGGACCAACTCCAGGGAGTCTGTACTCTCTTCTCACACCTCTTAGGTCCTGGGCCTAGAACTCAGGCTGTCAGGTGTGGCAGCAAGCACCTGCTGAGCTATCTGGCCTGCCTTGTAGCCCCCCCTTTTTTTTTCTTTAACCAGTGTCTCAGCTGTAGCCAGTGTGTGACGTGGATGCTAGACCTCCCTACACTCCGAGGAGTGGCTTTAAATAGCTACAGCTAATCACAGGGAGGAGGCAGAACCCAAGACTCGAGGGGCCTCCTGGAGGCTTGAGAAGGGAACCCCCTAGTTACTAGCTAACTGTGCTCTGCTTCGTCTTCTTTGGACAAGACGAAGGAGCCTCTGATGGCTCTCCGTCTCTGACTGATATGCCCAGGTTAGACACAGCAGCCAGCAGAGCTCAGCACACCAGTGGGCTGCCAGGAGAGAAACGGCTCACGGAACAATTTCTGTAAGTGACCTGACAGATGCTTGCGGTTTCCCTGTCCTCACGTTTCGCTTTTTCCAGACCCAAGCCATGAACGAGCTGGAGGGAATCTGCGGTACTTTGAGCGGTTGCTAGAGGAAGAAAGAGCAAAACCGTTGTCAAATCAGACGGAAGCTGGACTAGCAACCCAGGAGAACTTCTACGAGAGGCCTGCAGACTACCTGCCCGAGAGGGATGTGTACGAGAGCCTGTGTCGTGGGGAGGGCATCAAACTGGTGAGGGCTGGGGAGGGGCCGGTGGTCAGGCTGGGCATCTGAGCGCTGGCCCTGGGCAGTCAGCACTGGGAAGCTCTGCTGCTCATTTGCACTTTGCTCAGCATCTGCTGAGGCTGGGAGCTGGGTATTCTCTGATGCGCAGGGCAGGCGATTGTCTCCTCGGTCGCTCCAGGAGAATTCCGGCCCCCCAGGGAATTGTTGCACCCCCCACTCACCCCAGTGTGCCTGCCTATCATTTGCCTCATGGATGGATGTGGATATGCCTCAGGTCCCCAGAGTAGTCACAGTATAAATGACACATAAGACTGAGTGGTTTAAAAAAAAAAAAGAAGTGACACTTGCTGGGCTTGGCGCCTGTGTCCTTGGCTTTTGAGAGCCCTAGGGTCCCACTGGTCCTAACAGATCCTTGTGAGGATGCTCTCACCTTTCCCGTGTCCCCCGATTGGCTCCCAGTACTTTCTATCTGGAAGGCTTCTCCCCATCCACAGTGCTTCAGGCCTAGTCAGATCTCCATGGAAAGGGCCAGGAAGTGTCCTCTGCCACAGGAGTTGTGGGGATGAGGTGATCTTGAGGGAGAAGGGGAGCTGTATGATTTGTGTGAGGTCACTTCCGACTTTGGTTTTCTTCTGAGGTGAAGCTGAGGACAGCCTTGGCCACGGAGGGGCTGAGGGACCTGTGCTCTGTGCTCCCCAGACGCCCCGGAGGCAGAAGAAGCTTTTCTGTAGGTACCATCACGGCAACAGGGTGCCACAGCTCCTCATCGCCCCCTTCAAAGAGGAAGATGAGTGGGACAGCCCGCACATCGTCAGGTACTACGATGTGATGTCGGACGAAGAGATCGCGAGGATCAAGGAGATCGCAAAGCCCAAAGTAGGTGTCTCTGTGGGTCCTGCTGGGGCACTGCTGGGCCACAGTCCCTCCAGCTGCCTCTGGGGGCCAGTTTGTCTGCTTGCCGATTCCTTCTCACCTGGTGGAAGGGCTGGTGTATGGGTCACTTTTTAGAAACTTCGTAGGCCCAGAAAAGTGATCTGGGGAGCTCTTGATCAGGACTGCAGTGAGAGGTGAGGGCTGAGGACCTCAGTGAGGTGGTGAGGGCTGCAGTGAGAGGTGAGGGCTGCAGTGAGGACTACAGTGAACTGTTTGACTTGGAGGAGGGTGTACATCTGTGTAATCTGGATATTCTTCATCTTCTCTACTTATTCATGTGTTTAAATTTTCGGTTCATACACACCTTACACATTTCTAACTAAGCTTATTTCTCATTGATTCTGTTTTTATTAATTTTCTTCTTGAGAGTATTTTAACTGGTTTCATTTTTATATTAGCATATAATTTATATTATATATTTAAATATTGAATAGCATTTTTCTCTTTTTTAATGTAAGTTCAGAATGGCTTCAAACTTGCCATATATATGTGTGTATATATATGTATATATGTACATGTGTGTATATATGTATACATACATATATATGCATAGACACATACATATATATACATACATACATAAATACATGCCCACTCATATGTGTATATATGGACAACCCTGAACTTCTGATCCTTCTGCCTCCACCTCCCAAGGGCTGGGATTGCAGATGTGTAATATTACATGGTTTATACAGTGCAGGCAATCAAGAGCGATGTCTCATATGTGTTCGGCCAGCACTCTTTTAGCTGAGCCATGTTCCTACCCTGATATGTCAAACACGGTTTTTGAAATATCTCTCACAGTGATAACTAGTGTTTATTGAGGTTGGTGTGACAGGGACTGTCTCTGGCATTTTATGTGTATAAACTGGTGTCTGTTGCAAAGACACTGATTCCATCTTTGTTTTCCCTTGAGGCACTTGAGGAAGCTGACCTGGGTAGGTCAGAGGTGGTAAAAGTTAATCCTTCCTTGACTTTTTTGGTTGACTTTCTTGGGTTATCTTGGTAGGACTGCCATGTGCCAGCAAGGAAGATGTTTTATCCTTCCTAATACTTACAGCTCCTTCATTTTGACCATCTTATTGTGCTGCCTTGAATTTCTAGAACGTTTTTTGCAATGGACCTTCTTGTCTTGTTTCTGAGTATCATGGAAATCCAATTCTGAGTATCATGGCTATTTGTTGCTATGTGCGCCACTGGCTTGCTGGTTTTGTATATATGTCATGCTGATACAGTTATTCTTCGATTTCCGGCCCATAGATGATTTGGTCCTATTTCCTCTCTTTTGAAGATAACTGTGGGCTGCCATTTCCGCAGCCTTCTGCTATCACAGGTGATTGGGAGGGAGGATGAGTTGGCTCCTATTGTGTTGTTTGTAGTAGAATTATGATTGCTGAGGTGGCCAGGAACTTCCGCTCACAGACAGACCTAAGATAGGTCCCTGTGATAGCCCTGGGGCCCGGGAGCCTTGGAAGAGCCTTGGTTTGAAGACCTTGCACACCAGTAGACAGGGTCTGTGGCTGGGATCAAGGATGTCCCTGAGGGTCAGTCTAGTCAGTGTGTGTGGATAACTGTAACCAGGACTCATTTTCACTTCCTGGGTCAGTTTCTAGAGAAGAAAACTATGTTCCTGGTTTCCAGCCGAGGGAAGCATTGTCAAGCCAAAATCTCCAGAGATTCCCTACCTGCCTTAGTCCCAGACACTGAGCATTTCTCTCTGTGCACGTGCATACATGGGCAGCGGGGATGGGGCAGGTGGCCAGCATGGGGCTAACTGGCTTCTGAACAGGAGCCATGTGACAAAGCATACACATCGGCCGTCATGAGCTGACCTCTTCTTTCCGGACGTGCAGATGCTATTCCGGCTTTGAAGCGGGGCCATTGAGCTTAGCTTGGCTTGTGGGGAATGCCTGGCAGCTGTCTGCGAGTCCCCAGTCTGCTTTCAAAATAGCCCCGTCTGTCCCCAGGGCAGAGCACAGCTGCCCAAAGTCTTTTTTGGGCACCAGGCCAATGCCGAGGCTCAGATGTTTGCACAGGCTAGTGACAATGGCTGTCATCAGGCAGGAATGGCCATCCACCAGGCTCAGAAAAGGACCGCAGACAGGAGCCCAGGGAAACCATCTTTCCTGGGTATTCTGGTTTCCATCTTAATATTAGACTGTTGTGAGGCAAAGTGATCAGGTGGGTCAGTTTACTTTCTGACCAGACTTCCAGTGTGGCTCTCCTTCTCCATCTCCTGTCACAGGCCACCACCACCTCTTGCCCTGATCCTTGTTCTAACATTTGTTAGTCATCTTCGCACTCTGGTCTCTCCTTTGTCAACTCTCCATAGGGTGGCACAATAGTCCTTCATTCCACTGGGAATGTCCCTGCCTTGCATCAGGCCTTTCCCGTCTCAGGTTGACCACAAGATGGCAGCAGACCCTGGCCTCTGCTTGCCTCTAGCCTCTTCTCATCTCACTACATCATGAAGCCTCATCCCGTGGCTGGTGCCCTTTCATTCCTGGGCCTTTGCACCAATGCTTCTTCCCTGTTGCTGTAACATAGTACCCTAACCTGGACCAGCAGGTCATTCCTCAGTGCCAGGGTCCTGAGAAGGAAGGGCCAGGGGATCAGAGAGAAAGAAGACGGAACGGGTGGGCTCAGGAGGTCCAATAAGTTATGTCTTATGCCACGCACGCTTTTTAAAAAGTTCAGCATCTTATGTACTGTTTCCAGAAGATAAATGAGACAGTGCCCCTGAAGAGCCATCATACAACGGGGCAAAGTCAGCAGGAAGGTAATCAAGCAGTGTTGCACAAGGAGAAGACAGGACATCTCAAGGGCAAGGACGTCAGAGAGGAGCACACAGCCTTGGGACTGATAGCCAGAGCCCCTTACAGTGGGAATGTCTGGTTCTTAGGATCCAAAGCTGAGCTCCCTGAGGCTCTGCGCCCAGGCCATTACTGGATCTACTAAGGATCAGACAAGCAACTGCATTCCTTCATACACGAGAGCCTCAGAGAATGCCTCGGATCAGCCCTGCTCTCCGCAGGACCTAAGCCACTTAATGCCCTGTGGCTGCACTCTCACGGCATTAAGCACACCCATGCTACGCTACAGTTACTTGGCTGGTTCTCTACTGTCTCCTCTTGACCAGGTTCTATGAAGGCAGGGGTCAGCCAGTGTGGCACCTGGCATGTAGTGGGCACCCATCCAATAGTTGTCAAAAGCAAGAGTCAGCACTACTGTGTTTGGCTCACCTATACTACCACCTGAACATGTCTGTCCTTACCAGGCTCATGTCATGTGAGCCCATTAGGACAGTCCACACCACAAGTAAGGCACCTGACCCCTTGCTGCAAACAACTCTATCCCTCCTGGCAGTACTGTTAAGCCTTCATATGGAGACTGGGGAGCTGAGGTAGAGGAAGAGGGTGTGTGTGTGTGTGTGTGTGTTATCATGCTCATGATGGGTGACCTCTGCGTGGCAGTTCATGTACTTCAGATTCCTGTCGTTTTCTCTGTTGACTCTGGGAGGGCCCCACGGGACTGAAAACTGTCTCCTTGCTGAGCAGTGGGAGCCCAGCAGAGCAGGAGGCACAGTAGACAGTGTTTGGATAGCTTCTTGGCAGAGGGTGGGAAAACTTGACCAAGCTAAGAGAAGCCCCAGGTCGAGGCTCAGAAATCGCCCGGTCTGAGCGTGGTGGAGTCATCAGACTGTGCTCCAGCAGTGTGGTGTGTGCGGGCCTCTCAAGAAAGGCCCTGTGTGGGGGAGATACAGGTACGGACCAAGCAGAATTCATAGGCAGAACAGCGCCTGCAGCATGGAAGGATAACTCTATCCTCTCTGACTTTTCAGCTCGCCCGAGCCACTGTTCGTGATCCCAAGACAGGCGTCCTCACTGTCGCCAGCTACAGGGTTTCCAAAAGGTGAGTGGGAGTAGCAGTGCCTTGGGATGGGTGGGTGGGGGCCAGCTGCTCAAGCCGGGCTCTGGAGCTTCCCAGCAAGGATGCAAGAGGCGGCTGCTGCTGCTGCTGCTGATACGGCTTATCCTGCCTGCTGCGTCTCCTCGCTCTCTGTAGCCTTTACTCTCTGTGGCCCGTTAGTGGTGGCCTTGACTGGGAAAGGATCGTAGGACTTCATCTAAGCCCGCCCATGCCTTTGGTTTTTGCCCTCTCCTTGGTTTTCCAGCTCCTGGCTAGAGGAGGCCGATGACCCTGTCGTGGCCCGAGTCAACCGTAGGATGCAACATATCACAGGCTTGACAGTGGAGACGGCAGAGCTGTTGCAGGTAGGCTGGTCCCTGCGGCCGGATGACTGGGGAAGGGTTCTGTTGGGCTAGGTGTTTTCCCAAAGTCCTCAGGCTGTGTGAGAGGGCTCTCCTCCTCCATTAGTTAGTCTCCTAACCAAAGTACCTGACAGAAGCAAATTGGCGGAGGGGAGAGCTGCTTCCGCTCACAGGTTCAGCCCGCCATGGTGAGGAGGCTTGGCATCAGGAGCTTGCAACCCGGCTTGTTCACAGCTTGCCAGATCAGGAACCGGAGAGCTCGGGCTGGCCAGGACCAAGAGTCGATATAACCTTCATAGTCCACACCTGCACTTCTGCTAGCCAGGTCCCAAAGATTCCAGCCTCCAGAAACAGTCCCGCCAACTGTGGAGCAATTGTCTGCCCACATGAGCCTTGAATTCACAGTCCCAGCATCCACATAAAAAGCCGTGTGTGGCTAAGCCTTTTCCTGTCACCCCAAGCGCTGTGGAGAATGCTGACAGGAGGGTTGCTGGATGACAGCTTAGCTCCAGGTTCAGGGTCTCGAGGGGATACGGTAGAGCATGATAGAGTGGACACACGGCATCCTTGTCTGGCCTCTGCATGCACACAGACATGTGGACACACCACATACATATCAGCATACAGGCGTGCACACACGCAGCTTGGGTGGTTTTTTTTTTTTTTGGCCTAGGGATATGGTATCTTTGGAGAGTTGGGTGCTTTGGGGCTGTGGGGACTGCTGACAAATTTTCCATGCTGTAATCTCTCACCAGGTTGCAAACTACGGAATGGGAGGACAGTACGAACCACACTTTGATTTCTCTAGGGTAAGGCTCCAAGCGCGAGTAGTTCCCTGGATGCTTTGAGATGACTGGATCTCCTAGAAACATTTCCGCTCCCACGCCCTGTCTCCTCCACCTCCCAGGTGAAAGGGGGAAGCTCTGCTGTCGGTGAATCACCCGCAGAGCCCGGTGGAACCTGGTTGTGTCCTGTCGATGTTGGAGTGTCTGGCTCAATAATAAAGCAAAGGACCTCTCTAGGTCCCTGTGAACATTTTTCTGACCCTTCCCCCTGCCTGTATGCTGCCTGGGGTTCCCTTTACCATCCTGTCCCATGTCCCGGCTGTTCAACCGAAGGCACGCTTAATACCGTCCCCTGGCCCTTTTTGGTCCCCGTCCTTTGGGGGGTGGTAAGTGAGTTGCAAACTTGGATAAAAGTTGTTGTCTGTTGCAGCGACCCTTTGACAGCGGCCTCAAAACGGAGGGAAATAGGTTAGCGACGTTTCTTAACTATGTAAGTACTGGGCTGGGCACATTTGTTCACTCTCACTTAATTTTATAGAGCGATGAGCGCGATGCTTTCAAGCGTTTAGGGACTGGGAACCGTGTGGCCACATTTCTAAACTACGTGAGTATGATCCGCTGCACCTGATGGGCCCTGTGGAGACCCTGGGCCCGGAGGGCTCCCGTAATCCCACCCCCACCAGGGCTCACAGTATCAGCTGTTGCACGGTGGTTTCCCAGTGCCCTTCTTGGCTAGAGAGAGTTGGCTTTGGTTCCCATCTCCGCGCTTGCCTTTCTCCTACTCCCTGGCTCCTTCCCACACCACGCCAACAGTAAAGAAAAAAATTATGATTAATTTTTTTTTTTAGCTGTAGTAAAATATATACAACATAAAAACTACCACCGCAACTTCTCCGTGTGCTCCGGGGATATTAAATAAGCCCCTAATGTGGATCATTTACCACATTACCGTAACTCTTCTCACCTCATAAAATGGAAGCTCTTTTGCATTAAACAGTGTTTCCAGAGTTAACTTCCCCACTGCCGCCCTGCTTTCCGAGACCACATAACCTCATCACAAGTGGAGTCCTGGAATTGTCTGTGCTTTCCACTGGCTGATTCCCTCAGCCCACTCTCCTTCACAAACGTGCATGTTGTGGCGTGGCCTGCTTCCCTTTTGAGGGGTACAGTGCTGCCCTGAACTTTGGGAGCAAGAGCCATGGTGGGCTCTGTCCTGGCGCAGAGGGCTGGGAATCCGGGGAGCACTTTCAGAAGGAAACAGCTTCCCTCCGCTGCCCCTCCCCAAGCACAGGCTGTCAGTTTACCTTTCCCTGTTGTGGTAGCCCGCTCTAAGGATGCACAGTCAAGAAGCTTAGAAGGAAAGCTCCTCTTTCCCTCCTTAAGTTTTAACTATGTGCTGGAGGCTGCTCTCTGCGCACACACTGCCGAGTGGACCCTATGCAGTCCCCATTGTGAAGTCTGACATTGAAGCCCGGGGGAGAGCTTGTTGTTCAGTTACTATGGAGATGAACACTGAAGAATTTGCCCAGGCATGGGGTTCAGTAAAGGCTTCATTTAGGAAACAGCATGTCATCGAGACTTGAAAGTTGAATGGAAAACTGTGGAACATTTTTTGGCAAAGGGGAAGGTGTGTGTGGAGGCCTGGAAGAGAGAGGGTTGGAGATGTTGGGAAACAGACAAAGGCTAGTCTATCTGGAGAGAGAGGCAAGTCAGACTGACTCGGAGACTCACCGGGCTTGAACCCCAGCACCACAGAAGCCACTGGGTTGTTAACTCCTTCTTATCATGAGCCCGCTGAGCACCTGCCCCTTCAGTTAGGCTGGTATGTGTCATGCTGGGAAATTTCTTAGCTCTAAATTTTACTACCTTATAGGGCATTTTTATTATAGCACAGAGAAAAACAAAACGCCAAAACCAAAGCCAAACAACAACAACCAAAACCCCACACCAAGTAAAAGTGTAATTTAGTTTTAGTCTTACCACAGGAGAGGCAGCGTGGCATTCTGGGAAGGTGAAGATCTAATTAGAGCAGCTAGAGCCAGAAAAATGGCCACGTAGGGAAAGGGGTACTCCTGAGATTGGAAGTCTTAGGGAACGCCTGTCTAGACCAGTGTGCTGAGCATAGTGGTTTAAGTAAGGCCCAGGCTCTGGGTGAGAATTCAAGATGGGCCAGCACTGGCTTTTTCTCTTTCTTTTTTCTTTTCTTTTCTTTCTTTCTTTCTTTCTTTCTTTCTTTCTTTCTTTCTTTCTTTCTTTCTTTCTTTCTTT